AATTCAGTTTCAATTTAGTGAAGTTTATTTTCTAACCAATGCATTCAATTTCAAATTATGAACATTCAGATTCAATCTGAGTAATTCAAAATCAATTCCTGCTGGCACAAGATTTATCCCATACTAACCTGTGTGTCCTTTCCAGTCCATGTTTGACTACCTGGACAACGCTGTGATCAAGCTGTGTGAGATGTCCACCGTGGGAACTGATCTGGGGACGGTCAAACAGCAGATTGAGGAGCTGAAGGTCAGCAGGAAACTGTCTCACAGACGTTCAGAGGTGAGACAGGTGCTAAAACCCTCTTTGTTCTGAGCAGCAGTACAAGGTGGAGGTGTACCAGCAGCAGATCGACATGGAGAAGCTCTGCCACCAGGGGGAGCTGCTGCTGAAGAAAGTCTCGGACCAAACGGACCGGGACATGATCCAGGAGCCGCTGACCGAGCTCCGACACCTGTGGGACAACCTGGGAGATAAAATCACTCAAAGACAGGTGAGAAAACTGGAAATATTTTTAAATTTCTGATTTTTCTTTTTAAGCAATATTTATTTTTCMTCCTCAGCACAAGCTGGAGGCGGCCCTGCTGGCCCTGGGTCAGTTCCAGCACGCCCTCTCTGAGCTGCAGGCCTGGCTCAGCCACACCCACACCACTCTGGACACGCAGCGACCCGTCAACTCCGACCCAAAGGCCATCGAGATCGAGCTGGCCAAACACCACGTGCTGCGTAACGACGTGCTGTCCCACCACGCCACCGTGGAGACRGTGAACAGCGCCGCCGCAGAGCTGCTGGAGTCCTCGCCAGGTGACGAGGCCAGCCACCTGCGGGACCAGCTGGATCAGCTGAACCAGAGCTGGGAGAGTCTGCTGCTGAAGACCCAGGAGCGTCAGAAACTGCTGGAGGAGGCCCTGCAGCAGGTACCGTCAGAACCAGAGGCACACGAGACGTGTTTAATTACCCGAGTAAATTAAACCTCCTGCTCCTGTGTGTCTGCAGGCCGAAGGCTTCCACGGAGAGTTGGAGGAGTTCCTCCAGTGGCTGAGGAGGACAGAGAGCCACCTGTCTGCTGCCAAACCCACAGGAGGTCTCCCAGAAACAGCCAGAGAGCAGCTGCAGCAGCACCTGGTACCAGACAGACCCGAAAACTAACAAACTCATTATCTGTTCACGTCCAGTCTGAGCGCTGATCGCCTACAATTAGTTAAAGATGCCAAAACCAAAGTAATAGAGTTAAAACTTTCAGAAATAAAGCTGTAATTACCTCAACAGAAGCTAAAAGCTAATGATAGCTACAAACACAGACCAACAAAGAGAAGCTAAAAGCTAATGATAGCTACAAACACAGACCAACAAACAGAAGCTAAAAGCTAATAATAGCTACAAACAGATCAACAAACAGAAGCTAAAAGCTAATAATAGCTACAAACAAAGATCAAAAAACAGAAGCTAAAAGCTAATGATAGCTACAAACAGATCAACAAACAGAAGCTAAACGCTAATGATAGCTACAAACACAGACCAACAAACAGAAGCTAAAAGCTAATGATAGCTACAAACAGATCAACAAACAGAAGCTAAAAGCTAATGTTAGCTACAAACACAGACCACCAAACAGAAGCTAAAAGCTAATGATA